CCTTAGGAAATTAAGCTGAAATGCAGAGAAATTTCAATGGGTAATATTTCTAATTTAGCTTACATTCACTGATGGACTTCACACAACCCAAAACTTCCCTTATTTTTTGCAGTTGCTTCCCTTATTTTTTGCAGTTTGCTCCCCTCTGACTGAGACACTTAAAAGTAGTGCAGGTTTAGATGCCTCGTGATTTGTGGTTCCTTGCTAGATTTTCTCCAGAAACGTTGACTGGCTCCCACCACTCATTTTCACCCTGCCCTCATCTGCAACAATTCAATAGCCCTTCAAATATGACAGAGCAATTTATTTAATTTTTTGTACCATTCGGGTTTCTCCACCCTAATGCGCATAGCATCACTGATGTGATTTTGAGCCAGGCCCTTCAACCAATTGTTTTTGCAAAAGTGTGAAGTATTGGCAAGTTGTATTGGGGGTGATAACAAGCCCTTGAATATGGGGAAAGAAGCAGGACTCAATTGAAGAGATTTTTCTGCCACATAAATTGTAACATGGAGCCATGCCCCAGGATGCCTTGGTGGAGAGGTGTACTTTGCCTCAGCAATTGATTATTCATGAAATCAGTAAAAGGGACTATAGGTAGGTGGTTTCAGTACTTCTCCGAGAAATGGGACATCCCTCTTCTTTTCCCACCCTTAACGAACAGTAATTTATGAATAATACATCTGCTTAATACATCTTCATTTTGAGAATGCTATTTAAGCTCCACAGCAAATTAGACCTTTATTTCCAATTTATTTTAGTAGAAACAGCCCAACCAAATTATTATTTTGGATGCCTCAAACCTGGGTACATCTTGTGGTCAGAGTGTTTTTTTAAAACTTCAGCACCTGAGTCAAAAATACACCTTAGTGAAGTTCTGCAATAAAGGGGGGTACTTGAGCATATATTCCTGAAAATATGCCATTTCAGCATTCACAAATGCGCTTGTTCTCCCTTTGCTCAGGAAAGGGTTATCTGACCCTTTCCTGAAACTGCTCAGTCAAGTCAGCTATGCATAAATAAGAAGAAAACCTATGCAGGAAGAAAATGAAATTAGATGAATAATTAACATATACTTTATGCAAAAGCATGAAAAACTGTTCCAAAATTTCTCTGCTTAACTAATGTGTGAATTCATATAAAAATAGTCTACACTGAAATTTTGTCAGCATGTCATAAAAAGCACATATCTACTTATTTAATACGATTAAGATTTATCTAATGTGTTTCATTTCTTAATGAATGATATATTTTTTCCTCTTAGTCATTTTAAAGTGTGTTATTTCTGTAGGTTTGTGAACAAACAGTAACAGGCAAATCCCAGAAGCTGAAAAGGGGTGCAACTTCACAGCATCAGCAATCAGTATTTTGAAGAGGCTTCCTAAATTTAGGACAGAAACAAATGAAAAAGAATTATGAGCTTTTGTGTCATTATCTTGCTATAAGATTTCCTTAGTCTCATCAAAGGATGAAATAAACAGAAAAAGACCTGATCTTTGAAGAAGATCTACTCCGATTGCAAAATTTTAATTTCATTGTTTCAGGCCATGGCTACTGTAGCTGCCTGTGCTACAGGCGCAGTAAAAACCAGTCCATATTTAAAACTGGAACAGTCATCTTTTTTTTTTTTTTTTTTCCTGGTTTTTTTTTAATGGAAACAACTGGATCTTCAGTATTTATTGCACAGTTGCATACTTAAGATTTCATTTGCTGGAGTTATGTATGTGGCAGGGTAGGATTTACCTGGTAAAGCCCATGAAGTTTATAATGGGAATCTAAAAATAATCTGAATGCTGTTCTATTTTTTGGAAAGCAAACTGTGGAGTGGTCAGTGCCCAAATACACACTTAGCACTTTCAGGAACTTTAATGGGAGTTGCTAATACAAATGCCCAGTACGCTTGGATAATTATACATGTTCACTGTATAAATACCTAAAATACAAAATGGCATAGTTTCCAAACCCCTGTGTTTCTATCTTTCAGATACTGTTCAGGCACATTTTGACATAGTAATTATTTATATGATGATAGATAGCCCCAGATCTATAATTCACTCATGGGGCTTAGGTCATTTCATGAAAGCCAAAAGTATAGTGCATTACTCTGTATGCATAATGTAGAGCATATTTATATTTAATGCTAACATTATTTTTCTATGAGGGGAATATTTCTGTGAGGTGCACTTGCTGTTCAGAATATTGTTTATGTTGTACAGATTTTCATTTTGAGATGAAAGAATACTTGTTTCCCGAGAAAATGTTGGCCACTTCTGAGGATCTTGCTTTATTTCCTTCCCTTCCATCTCTTCCTTCCCTTCCTCTTTTCTTTTTAACAAATAAATTGTTCAGTGGTAATATAATTGTAATAGGTCATGTACAAGTTTTTTCATGGACAAACTTGACTAGCAATACTTACCAACATAATCTGGCTTTGATACCAAGGTTAAGAGATTATAGCAGACATACAATACTACCTTTGCATTCCAATGAATACCCAAATTAACTTTAAAATTAAAAATTTCAATCTGTAACAGCAGTAGAATCTCAGTAATCCACACTAATAGGCAGGAACCTTATATTTACGCTGGCTTTAGATGACTTCACGTAGTCACGTCAGGTATGTCAGAGGAGGAGTGAGTAGCTGTATGCAGGAAATCACCTGAGGATGAAAACAGAGAGGCATATTCATCTCAGTGTATTGTGAGGATTTTTATCTATAATGTTTATTAAAGCTCACAGGGGAGATACATTGTAAATCTGGGTATTGAGCTAAGGCTGTACACTGCAATCAGCTTTTCAGAAAATGCCTTTAGATAAAGTGCTGTTCTAACCCTTCTCTGGATTATACTCTGCATCAGGAAGTATATTATCCCCTAAAATATCTCCTTTCATTCTTTAATTTTACTGCTAGTATTCTAGCAGGAGTTAGCTTTTAGTGGGAAAACACGTTCACATTGCTCCTTGCCCAGTGCTGGGGAAGAGCATCTCCTGCAGGTCACAGGCAGCACTCGGGGAAATGGCTGCTCCTTAGTGCCCAAGTGGGTGCTGCCTTTCTGCTTCAGGGAGGAGGTTTACAGCAACATCTCTACAGGCACCACAGAAGGAGGAATTTGCTAGATGGCTCAAGCAGGCTGACAATACTGCAGCAAGCTGTCACCTTCCATTCTCTCAAGCAAGCAGTCACCTCCCCCTTACTCCCCTCAGAAGACAGAGCCTCTGCAAGGTGTGGGAGAGGATGGCAGCATGCTCCGAGCTCTCGCTTTGGGGAAGCAAGTCTTTAGCTGTCTTGCTTTTCCCTGCAAGGCTGCTGGCACACAGAACTCGAGGTCATTTTTAATCACTAAAATATAGAGATGATGTCCCCTTGGGCTCATTCTAAGTACTCGGTGTAGTGCCACCAACAGTAGCGCCATGGGCAGGCACAGCTGACTTCAGAAGGTGATTCTAGCTTTTGTGAGGCCAATACCTACTATTTGCCATTATGTCTGCAGAGGAGCTGTAGCCAGCTTCCTGAAAGTCCTCTTAGCAGGCAGAAGAGAAAGATGTGGGAGCTCAGAAAGCCAGCAATAAGTGACAAAGCCATGCCTGACAGGTTCAGTGACGGGTAGGAGCAGAACTGTATCTGTAACAGTGGCCATACCCCTCTGTGCTCCAGCAAACCTGAAAGTGTAGTTTCAGTATGCCTGACAGTTTACAAAAGGAGGGGAAAACGTGATTCTTTTATTTCATCTATGTAACTTCATATTTATGTACACTTGTGTAGATATATCTATAGACCTTACTGTTATGCAATGATCCTGGTCAGCAGAATGTAATTACGGTATCGTGGAATCACACCATTATCAGAGGCCCTTCTATCATCTTTACAGACTTGCCCTCTTTTCTGTGTAAATATTTTTCCTGCCTTTCCCTTTTGCAAAGCAAAGAAGTTGTTTGCAAACTATTTGTAGAATATAAACAGCTCCTACAAGGGAAATGCCCTTGAAGCAGTGAGAGTAGACTGATTGCAACATTCGGCACATGCTAATAGCATCATCAGAGAATTACTATTACTTCGTAGCAGAGGCATTTTCATTAAAATAGAAATCTTACCATGATCCTTAGATTGAATTTTTACCTTCTTTCGCATATTTCAGGTGAACCAACAATCACAGGTTGCTGGTTCATTGTTCAAAAGCTCCAAAGAATTACACACCCCTAAGGAGTGCCATTTCCCATGATTGCCTCTTTGCAACTTTTGTGAAGCACCAGGGAACAGAACAGGCAAATGACCAGCACAGAAAGCTTGAATCTGGCAGTATTCCTAGTGCTCTGCACAGAGTTAGTAAAATGAACCTGCTAATACATTGTTATATCTGTTACAGCTTGCTCATGTTGGCTGTTAATCGAGTATTCATAGTAAATTCACAAACTGACGCTTGAGACTGAATGATGATCTTTCAGGTTGCCTGATACCTTTATCTGACCAAATTCATGCAGACTCAGCCATGTGCAGAGGAACTTGGCACGGCTGCACTTTATCTGCCTTTTTATTTCTAGTGCGATAGGATAGGAATGAGAGGAAGAGAATATATAAGGGTTCCCCACTGAGAATCAGTTCTATAAATTATGTATTATGCAGACACTATTCTGCTGATGCTATCTGATCCCCAATTCTCAGTTCCTTGTTTTTCCTTCTATAAATAGCTTTGGCCAGGTTTTCAGTTGTAAAATGACGAGGACAAAACCAGAAACCTTTCCCATTTAATAACCTCTGCCAAAGAAGAATAAGGTAATATTTTTCATAACTGTGATGTCCTCAGGGCTTTAACAGTCTGGGAATACAAGCAGCACTATGTTGTTGATAAGATACTGGTAGTAAAAGTGGGAATAACCATGCTGAATATTAAAGAGGGAAATGCCCTATTTTCAGGATGATTGGTATAAAACTTGGTATTGTGAATTTTCCTGTCAATTTTTGTCTGTGTAGGACCACTTTTGCTTTTTGTTTCTCCCTCTAGATCCAAATGCTTTGGCTGGACAGACCGGACCTGACCATGCTCTTATAGGAGGAATAGTGGCTGTAGTTGTCTTTGTTACACTATGTTCTATAATTCTCCTTGGTCGATACCTGGCAAGACATAAAGGTAGGACACATTTAGTGGAAGTTCAGTCACTTTTGGAAGCGAGGCATGATTTCACCTGGGAGTGCTGTTCCCTTTCACCTTCCCCCATCTGCTAAATGATTTGGATGGGAAATCTCAGTTCACAGTCCAATCACACAAGAAGTCCCTATGAATTTTACCCAGTTTTCCGGTGGACTGGCTAAGACAAAGGACATCTCCTTTACATGCCCAAGGTCATCTCATAAGTCAGTGATTTAGAGAGACTAAGAGGTAAGACAGCCCCTTGGTTTTGGCTCTTAGCTCTAGACAAGTGATTATATGATCTCATAGTTTTAACTAGTATATCAGTTCAGCAGAATATACATATATATATATATATTGAGTGAACAAGATTTTTCATTTTAATAAATTGTGTTAATACTTTAAGTATGTATTTAAAAGATAATATTAGAAGCCGATGGTGAGTTTTCAGATCAGTGACTCTTACCAATGATCCCACTGGAATAAAGGGTTCATTCCTGGGCCAAGCTTTACTCTATTCAGAGATTTCACCTTAAGAATTCTACTCCCTTCATTTTCAGTTCCCCCAGCCATTAGAGATAACAGGGATGGAGTGACAGTGACTTCCAACTAAGCTACTCTATGATCCTGTTTTGACCTAGTTAATTCCAAAATAATTTCTTGAGATTTAAGCTCCAAATGGCTTGTAGACCTATTGTTAAAACTTAGTTGATTCCCTAGCCACTGCCGCCCCCGCCCCACCCCCCAAAAAAAAAAAAAAAAAGTGAAGAAAGGATTACTGTCAGTGTTAACTCATTAAATCTCATTTTAGGTAGGATAATCATATGGCTAGCAGACATAAACTGATAAAAACATCTATTTAATTTGATTGGATTGTGTGTGGGGAAACAAGAATTTTTTAATGAGCAGTGAAATCTTGTCTCTTTTGTTTTACTTTCCTGAATGAACAGTTATACATCTTATGACAACATAAATAATGCTTTTCATAAAGCAAAGTTGACTATTGTACACAATTCTTTTTATTCATATCCTGAGCACAAAAATATCTGTGGTAGTATAATATGAGTGAGTTCAGTTAATAAAACTACCTCAATTTTGTAATTCTTGGAAATGACTATGATACAATTCTGTAAAATTAAAGTATAGATACTACCAAAAAAAAATAGAAAAATAATCAGTGGCCATTTTTAAAAAAGAGTGTTTATGAATATCTAAGTCTTCAAAGTTGGTTCATTTTTATGGGTGGCTCTTCTATGAAATAACCAAGATTTTATCACTTATTCTGTAATTGCAAAATATATTGCATATTACTGCAGTTAGATGAAGTGGATTTTTATTAAAAAGTTTCCTTAATTTATTGTGGATATACTTGAGTTTGTGTATGTGCATTATCAGTATTAATACCGTAAATATTTCTTAGGCAAATTAGAAAGTTGAGCGTACCTATAGGATGTATACTGAAATTGTGTAAAACTTTGTCCATTCATGAATCAGTTGGAGCATTGTTAGAAATGTACTTCCTATAATGTACCGTAAAGCTAAAAACCCCCTAATCTTTCTTTTTTTTTTTTTTCTTTTCTGTTGCGCTGATTCCTATAGGAACATATTTAACAAATGAAGCAAAAGGAGCTGAAGATGCACCTGATGCCGACACAGCCATTATCAATGCAGAAGGCAGCCAAGTCAATGCAGAGGAGAAAAAAGAGTATTTCATTTAGATGCAGAGCTAGAATCTTGGAGTTTTACTTATCAGGCTGACTGCTGGAGGAAACTGGCTATCATTTCTCAGAATTCATTTCTGCCATCTTCTGCTATCTTTATTAACTCGCATACCTGCTATAAGTAGCCAGTTTATGCCAACAATCAGCTGTTGACATCATCATTCTATAATTACAGTATCATGCGTAAAGCAGGACATTTCTTATTGCCTAAAATTCATATCCACCGCTCTCTTAACATACAGTGCTTGAATATACAGCCTTAACAATGTTAATCATCATCTTAATCCAAGTTTTCTACATTTTTAAATGTTATACAGCTTTCTTCTTTTTCAGTTTTCTTTTATCATGTCCCTACTAGTGTGTCAGAGAACAATATTCATAACAAATACTGTTAGGTAAGGACCTAATTTACTTACATAAGTAACATAAAATGTTAAGTCTAAGATTAGAGGTTTACAAAGAATGTTTTATACATGTCTATCTATAATTCAGAAAGCAACTTGATTTTGAAACATATGCCCTAGGAAACACAAACTTAAATCTTTTTAGTATAGTTTATTGTATGCTTGGAGTTGGTGGAAGAAAACTATCAGTCCACTGAATTTTTTCTTTTGTTTTGCTTTGTTTTGTTACGTTTTAAATGGTACCTTGACAACAGTGCCATGTTTTCAGTGGTAAAAACATGCTGAATAACTATACGGATTCTGCAAAGTTAGATAATAGTGCTTCGTTTGAAACAAATTTGTCCTGCCCTTTTACTGCTTTTCGGGATCGCAAAGATCAGAGAACTTTCCGAGTAATTTCTGATTTTATAATTTATTTGCTTCACATGAACTCACCTGCCTACTCAAATTTGAAGCGTTCATGGGGCACAACAGCAAGGCATTTTAGTATCTGTATATAGTGCATATAATAAATTCAATTAAACATTATTTGATACATATTTAACTTTTTTGGCAGTAGCTAAGTCGGTCACAAGTAAGCATTTTCTAATGTCCATTATAGCCCTTTAGATATGACTCAAATCAATATTCTGAGTAGATAACATGTATTAGTATTTTTTTGTCTGTATGTCCTAGCACTGTTCAGCAGCAAACTTTTCTAGTTCTTGTTATTTTTTTCTTTGTTATACAATGGAAGCACAATGTTATATGGAAAGGTAGTTTTAAGCTAACAACCAGTGCACAGCCTCAGGTTTTAAATTACAACCACATTTGATTACTATCCTTAAAAAATACTATTAAGTTGCTAAAATTCTCAATTTTTAATTTGGCAGTTCCAGAGCTGCTTCTCTATGTTGGTTTGCCAAAAAAAAAGAAAAAAAAGAAAAAAAAAAGAAAAAAATAGAAGTGTTAAAACAAAAGATATATGTTTTGTGTATACAGTAAATGGACTAATTCTTTATATTAAATTCCTGTCTATGCATTTTGTGAGGTACAAACTTATGTCACCGTGAATGATAGAGAATTCCTGCCATGCTTTTAGCTCCACAGTGAAAGTCTCTGTTTGGATTATTTCTGAAATTTTTTGTGTAATTGACAGCTGAAAAATCACTTGCTCTTAAACATGACAACAAAACACTGTAAGCCCATCGGCTTATTTCCTCTTCCAATGAAATAAAAAGGTTGCCATAACAGCTCTTGGAAATGATTCTACACTGGAGAACGCAAGTTAGTCTAGCTGGAGCTTGTCTTGCTCCCAAGTTTTGCACCTTTGACAAAAGAGTATTTCTCGCTGGTTGCTGTACTTGTGAAGCCTAAAAGCATGATGGTCTGCTGTAAAGGACTTTCTCCTGGGATTTTATTTTTGTGTGGGGAAGGGAGAGTTTGGAATATGACATCATGTAGTATGGTAAAATGGAAGATAAAGGTGCTGTGTCAGATTATTTATCAGAAGAGTATAAACCTTTTAAGGACAATATTAGAGTATTTTAATTGTTTTTGTTGATACATTTATCTTGTTAATTTCTAAGAAAAAAGGGTGACGTCAATCAAAGCAGCACTTTTTTTCAAAATATACAGGCATAAATAATATGATGTGGTTGAGTGTTAACATAATAAATCATATACAGTATGACATTTTAAAGAAATAAGTCTGCATTGATGTGATTGCATGCTTGTTTTTACAGTTCACTCCATACCCATCTGTGGAAAAATGCAATAATATGTTAATATAATATGGTAGTTTGAGAGAACCAGGTAGATGCTACTAGACACATTGAAAACTAGTATAGGTTTACAAGATATTCATGTCTTTCAAAGCATATACATGTAAAAGGCTGGCAAAGGAAGTCACTCAGTTTAATACCAAAAATATGGGTTCTTGTCACAACAGTAAGTTATATTAGCTACAGTACAGTATCACGTATGACAAGGTTTTATTTCAGGACCTGGCACCCAGTTCAACCAAGCATTTAAGCACGTGTTCAGCTTCATGTGTTGGGGAAGTTCCAGTGGGCTGTGGGGCACTATTCATATGCTTAAAAATAAGTGCTTCCCTGGATGAGGGCCTTATTTGCTCTAGTGGAATTCCCCACCAGTGCGGTGTTTACGCCTTTTTTCATTCTTCCTAACTCCGGCTTGCTTGAATAGTAGTAGGGTTGTTACTTGAACCGTTACCCAACCGAGGTCAGGTAGGACCTTGAAAAGCAGGATTGCCCTTGGGGTAACCATTTCAAACCATTTCCTCCAATGGCATAGAAACAGCATTTAAACTTTGCAAAAAAAAAAAAAAAAGGAGATATAAATCATACTGGTAAAATAGGTTATTTTATTGGTTTTCAATTGAAACTTCTCACATGTGCTCATGTTTAACGCAGTTGATCTTCCATTATCTTGCACCTGGTGATGTCCCTTGCACCTGTGCAAAGCAGGTGGGAAACCCCCCACACCAAGGAGCATTCTGCCAGGATGGCACCTCGCAGGCCTGTCTGGTCTTCACGGGTTTAAATTACTACACTAGGTGTAAAGAGGCATCCCTCTTGTTTGTAAGCAGAACCATGGCTCAACACTAATGACATTCAGTAGGCGAAAAGCCCGTTGTCCGTTCCCTTCGTCCGAGATCCCATTCTGAAATACCGCTTCTCCTATGGTGTGAGGTATCCAGCAAATGTGTAAAATGGAGGCTCTGAATGAGAACCACCCTCACTAAAATGTATGTGGCATCCTCGCCCACGCACACTCGCAGAGTAGTTTTCTCAAGACCAGGTAGCTGTTTTCTGCCAGTGTACTGTTTACAGTGTCGATTGCTGATTATTTTTAAACTTTTTGAGGTAGATTTTTTAAATTTTTTTTTTTTAATGCTTCAAGAACATTCTCATGATGTGAACAAGAAGGCGGTGCATCAGAAGAGGAGGGGTGCATCCTCCCACTCTTTTAGTGTCATCTGACAAACCGACAAACAGTTTAAGGAACCTGATGTTTAACTTGAGGCTCAGAATTTAAGCTAGAACGCTTTAAAAAGTTTCCACGTTACTTAAAGATGGTTCGTCTTGCACTGAGACTCCCTCTCTAAAGGAATACGTGACGAAAACCAACTTTTCTAAATAAGACATGAAAGTTAACATCTTGTGTATTTTCATTACAGCATTATATATATATATATAACTATTTCAATGAAAAGAAAGGACAGAATCATCTGTGATTATGTAATTCATGATTGTAACAGCACTGAAGTTACCGTGTACGCACATGTACAGTAGCTATTTCAACAGTTACAGTGTAGTTACATGTAATTCCCTGTAACATAGCAGTTATAGTGTAATTTAGTGCCACTTATTGTAAAGTGTTACCAAAAGGAAACTGGAGTTCTTACCTTTACAATTCCATTCAAATTAAAGGTAAGTTTATTAAATTAGCACCGTAAATCTGATACTGTATTTCTTAATTAAGGAGGTGATTTAAAACTTCATGTTCACACTGCAGCTTCCCCCACCGCTTACTCAGACTCCTCCAAGTGTCTAATCTCTACACTCCTAGGAACTGGTAATCTGTGATGAACATACCAAAAATCCAGCTACTTCAACTTTAATTGACTAAGCTGTCTAATAGAGAAAAATGAACAACAACAACAACAAAAATAACGAGTAATGCTTTTTATTAAGTGGCACAAAGTACACACTAAAAACTATGCAAAAATATAGGTAAATACAGTGTACTTACATGTAAGTATCTTGTACTTGCTGTGTATGGATATTGGAAAACCGTGTAATTATAATATGCATTTTGATTATTTCAAGCAGGGGGATGACCCCTAGCAGTCACAAGGAAAAACGGGAAGGTACATATACAAGCAGTGGATATCCTAACGCAATATGTGTAATTCCTCTACCTGCATTGACAGCTGATTTATAAAAATGCTTATATCCCTCCTCATTCTCCCTAGCTTTGCTTTCCATTTCTTGGAGGCCCGTTAAATATCACTGAAACACCTTTAGGCACAGTAAGACACCGACTCCACTAATGGCTTTGCTGCCAGCACTCTGTATGTCTGGCAACACTGTTCTGTAATGTATTTCTGGCTCAACAGCACAAGTTTCCTCTTTTCTCCTGTCCTCAAGGGAGCCTAGTATGTTAAGATGCTGAAATATGCTGCCATATGCCCTGGTATTTTTAGCACGAACAACAGAGAAAGAGAGAGAGAGAGAGCACTGCATTCTTCTGACCCCTATTTTGCTGAATCACCTCACCTGGAATTTCCACTACTTGCTCAGTAACGCCAGGTAATCTTAAATTGTAAGTACAAAATGCTTCCATCAAAGTACAGAGGATGCCTTTAATGATAAAGCTAACGTTTTGTAAACGTGAAGTTTTGTATTACTGATCTTTTTATTCTCGCCACTTCTCCGTCATACCCTTCCAGAAGGAATGCACCGAAAGACAAATAGCATAGAATAGCAAAAGAAGAAAGGAATATTGTAAGCCTTCTTGTGGTTGCCATTGCTATAACCCTCCTTTGTGTCCTGTGTAACAGGCAAATAGACGTATTTAGCAACTGCC